CAGCACACATCAGTGCCAAGCGAGTCCAGTGTGAGTGCAAGAGCAGCTTGTTGTCCTGCTTGCAACAGCGGTTTAGAAAACTGACACTGCTATTCTCGACTCAAGTCTAGCTCATGATCTACAGCGGGTTTTTCAGCTAATGGGGTACGATTCGGCTGTGACGCCTGGTGTAAAACCAATGCACTGGGAAGAAGAGAGTAACGTTTTTATCCGACAACCAGGACTGATTACGCAACTTCTTGATGAAAACACGCAGACTTTGTGATGTTCAACGCAACTGCAGTCCTCAAACTCACTACCGTTCTTCGCTATTCATCATGCAAGGACTAGAGATATGTTTCTCAAGCAAGTACTTCAGAATTCCCGTGGTCACAGTTGTCCATATCTCCATTGAACTGTCCAAGAAACGTTTCCAACAGAAGACACGGAACCCCTATGTTTAAGGTCCCCATGGAGAGATTATCTCCGCTTTTTCTTCATAGAAGTAGATGAAAACTCCTATGAACACCAATCTCAGACATTGATCATCGAACCGCTAGGTTGACACTTCCAGAAAAGCGGCGCGTACAAATTGTCAATAACGTTTTCGAGTAATCTACTCTCTACGTGGTCAGAACGCGAATTCACTGACTGGAAAGTCCGTGGTTCGAACCCGACCTCTGCCTCTCGACTTCCCCTGTGTAGGCTTGGGCAACGTCGCAGTATCCCGATCCTCGTGCTTCGGGTGGCACGGCAGATGGCACCAAAAGGGGTGTTGCAGCTGAAGGATTAATGCTATTATATTTATACGTGTGTATAGCTGATTTATAAACGCCGGCCATTTTTCTCACAGTTAACTCAAGAGCACTCATGACATGCTTTTTTATAGGGTCGCGTTCTTGGAGGAAGAGTAGGCAATCTTGTCACCCCGATTCACTACACCTCACTACCGGTTTGTGACACTAGCTTCTATAAGTATAGTTATGGGTCACAATATGTCTCACCGTTTCTACACCAAGTTGATATCAGGAAACAGCCTATTTCCACCTAGCTGGTCTTTTTTCGGATATTGAAAACAGTCACGACAGCTTGACAGTCCATATTTCCTCATACGTGCCTAACCACCTACTTACTACATCAATTCCACAAGAATGTGTTCAGGTTGGATACATTTACGGTACCAGTGTTATGCTGGCAGCCATCATCCCCTTGGGTTTAGATTATCCTTATTTTAAACAACTTCCATAATCAGGTGCGATGTCTAGTCCCTATAGCGCTCTCATATCATCTTTCTTCCACAATGGAACAAGCACCGAATAGAAGCCCAGTCTGTTTGCTGCCTACAGAAAATTTTGAACTGTCTGCTGTCTTTTTATGCCTTTTTGTTGGTTGACTGTTCTTGGAGGCTTATTTACTTCATGCATGCTCTCTAGGAAAACCATTGTGGTCCCTTGTCTTTCCTTTTTAACGTTCCATTCAGGCTACTCCGTTCGCGGTCGGTAGAGTTACTTTTCACTGTCTAATCAACATTCAGTTCACCTGTTTCGCTTGTTTGCCGGATTGCCGTCTTTGACGTGCAACGTCGGTATTTTCGAATAAATACTTCTATTTACTAGAAGTCAGTCGATTGTCTAATTCGTCGACAGGTTGTTCAAACCAGATCTTACGCCTACATGTTTTCCTAATCCCAAACTTTTGTTATGCGAGATTTTCCTCCCGTACACCAGTTTACCTGAACTTTAAAGTCCAACTGCGTGTTTTCTGTTCTGTTGATGCAGGCGGACAAAACAAGGTTGCGCTTCAACTGATAATCCAACATGTGAACAAACGCCTAAAAGTTGTAAGTTTCTTTTGATCCCCATTCAGCCTCGTAAACCTTGCATTCTGGTCCAGCTTCTGTGTACCATTTTGAAGCATGAGTAGGCGGTCTTGAAGACCAATCAACTACGTCTTCCGTCCCGATTGAGACTCATCTGGTGGATGTAACAGGACTGGATTGCCGTAGGCTCACACTCGAAATTCACACTCAACTCCTATACCAAGTGGGCGGTAACTTCATCTCAGACCTTGTGGTCACGACTCTATAGCTACGTTGGCGTGACATATTCTGGTCGTATATTCGCATAATCCACCTATCTGCGCGACCGCCTTTCTATTTTCCCCATCTGGATTACTCATCACGCTGTGTTTCGTCATACAGTTCAGTTTTTGGGGGTATTGTCAGTGCCGTGAAACTTTCTGGGACAAATTAAATCGTCCTACAGTTTTCCCGGTTAACCTCACAGATGGACTATTCCGGTTCCGGCACGAAGCTGAAATGTCCGGGTGAATGATGGTCCGTCGAACAGCTCCTAGTCTCACTCTTTGATACAACCAAAGATACATAATATGCATACCTGTGCTTATCTAGATGACTGAACTGTCTCTAAAGTTCATCTACACTTGATAACTTTAGTGAACTATTACGATTGAGTTGTCCCATGCAGCCGGGTTAGACGCTTTTCCTGTCCATACAACTTCTGTTTACCGAAGGTTTGACTGTCAGTTTGGGTTTGTTCCCGTGCTTTAGACGCACAGAATCTCCATTTGAGAGAGCTGACCCTCCTTGTATGAGCGCGATCTCCTGTCAGTGTGGTGGTCTTCTTAGTAATGTTTGTTATCTATACTTTATTCCCAGCAAGGACTCACATCGCGCCATGCTTTGGCTAACTTCTATTCGTCTGGCAACGGAAATTCAGGTCAGGTCAACTGCTTGGGACCCTGGGGAGATTGCTCCACAGATGCAGAGGATGCGGATAAAAATGGTCTCACGGTACCTAATGGGAAGCAAAACGGGCATAATAACGGAAAGGAACTGGTTCTTCCACCACAAGTCCACGTACTCCCCTCAGTCCCACAGACCAGGGGCTTGCACACCATTGTTCGGGACTGCAATACAGATCAGGACGAATTTGTATTCTATTCAGAACGGTTGATGCGTCCACTTTGTGAATATGCCATGAATTTGTTGCCCCATATGGTAAGCTTTGTCCAGATTTTGTCCCTTTGTCCCCTCATCGTATGTATGAAGCTTGCAGCGTCCAAAAAGCAAATCTTTGGGTTTTAAGGGTAACGTCTACTATGCTGCTATACGAACTGAATTGTTTTGTGGCTGCGAGGCTCGGCCCTGTGAGCAGATGATCTGAGCCGTTTTCAGTATTTTAGCCACTATTATCTCGGAAGCATCTCTGATACTGGATTGTAAGAACGAATTTCTAACGAGGTATTTGGAAAATGGGTGCTTGATAGTGCATCGGACACTTCAGTCACCGATGAAATCCACCACTATCAAGTACAGTCGCTCAGCCATACACCGAGCAGTCAGTTCATCATCTGCCGAAACAAGTGTTCCCTATACCTCCTTAAATGACGCAAACTGTTAGGTGGTCAATCCAGTGTGACTGCACAAAGCATTAGGAAGGGAATTACGAACAGTATGGATGCTGTTGGTGCCTTCCAGGTGGGTTATCCGTGATCCTGTCTACATTTGGCGGGAGATGTTGTAAACCCTGACGCCTAACTAATGTCAGTGGCGTTTTTATTGTCAGTTTCTCTCCGGACTGTTTGATTGAGTGTGTTGTGGTGTAGGCACCTTTGAATGCTTGGGCTAGGCTAGCACTAAGTCCCCCCTCGTGCACTTTTTGTCGTATTCTCACTGTGATGCTTTAACCTAAGTTGGATAAACTGATAGCACTATTTATGATCGGTCACGGTATCAGATACACGGTACACACGCACATCGGCGTCGTTTCTGAAACTCGAAACAGAACCACAAGTACCTGGCTGTTCTTAATGTTGCCTTTTAGTTGAACAAGTGTTCCGGGAAGATGATGCAATGGAAATTCGCCTTACATGAAAATTTGAAGGTTAAAACAGCGCAGTGAAGTACGATGTTATAATCCGACGCTTCGGGACCCATTGGCATCTTTTTTCAAGAGTTTTACAACCGGTCAAAACGGGTCGACGTTATTTTTGCGTCGTTATGTCTTCTGATTCGTGTATTCCTTAGATCAGTTGTCAGTCAGACGAAACCAACGTGTGTGTATGTTAGCTCTCCGTGTGTGTACGCTTAAAAATGTGTACTTTGGTTGGAATGTGACCCCATTTGTTGTTATGTTAGGCTGGACATCTAGCCACCGTGTCTACTAAGGTTCGCAATAGGTCCAAGCCAGGTAGACAGGATGCTGGCATCATCACGACGGTTAGCACAGTTCGTGTTGATTCTTAGTGCTTCAGCGCACGTCCGTTCTACGTGCAACTTGAATCCTGACCGGAGCATTCGTGTGCCATCGAAGCCGATTTGATGGTTTGATTCGGTTGCGTTCAAGCTTTCTGAGCTCAGTTGGATTTCGTGAAGGGAAACGCGCATGCTGTTTGTCCCCCGTGATTCACGAATGGAGCTACCTGGCTGTCTAGCCTATGCCTGGACAGCCTAACCTTTGCACAGAGAATTTGGTAGATGCAGTTTGTGCTGTACTTTGATTAGAAAGGGTCCTAGCCCTCATAAGATATTTTATAATAGGTTGCCAATCCGAAAATGTTTTTATTATCCTAACCCCGAACTAACTTCTTGATTGAATCGAAAGTGCCCTTCCTCTAGGGTATTCATACATTGACCATCAGTCTTTCGTCTCCTTATCCCGTCGTTTCGGGTAGCGTTTTCAGGAAACCAGTCTCCCTCCGTAAACCAATTGTTCGCCCTCCATAGGTTTCGCTGGTTAGGCCATGTACTTCGTATATCGTAAGACCGGTTGCCTCTCAGAGCTTTCTTCACCCAACCGTGTGTCGGATGGAGACAATTCAGGGGTGGTCAGTCTATGGCTTGGCAAAGAGTCATAGAAGTTTGCCAATCAGCTCAGTCACTTTGGCAACCACTGTCTTCTTCTTCGGATGGTGACCCTGGGACGATATAAACTAATGGTAGTGATCCTGACAGGGATAGTTGTATCGTGCAGGTAATGACGACTCTAAATCAAGACTATTGGCTGCACTGCGTAGCTCTCTCATACCATACCATATCAGATAAACTTTCAGCGTCAACGAACTAAATAGACCGTCGCCTTCAACGCGTAGCCCTGATTCCCTCATTCTCCATATGCTCGGGAACAAAACTGTAGCAGTTGGTACCATTACACCCCGGCACACAGTTTGGAGCTAACAAACTGCTTACGAGTGTTTTTTGGATTTTATCCGAGAAGGAACTTCTCACTGAACACCACCATCAACCATGGGTTGCGAATTGTCCGAAATTTTTGGGACTAGTGTGGATTCAAGAATCAGTAACCTGTAGGTGCCCAACTTGCTGACACACGGGACCGACCACGTTATTCGTTGAATTTATGACAACATTTAGCCCAGTAGGCACAGCCGTGATACATTTTCGTGCTGTATACAACGAGGGTTCGGAACATCATTTCAAGGTCATTCCGTTGAGTTTCATTCAACGGGCGCGACACTGAATCATTCCACCAAAATGCTGAAAAGTCATAATCATTACTTTCCTTATCACACTTAACACTCACGAATGAAGTAGGCTACCAGAATGAGCGAACCAAACCAATCTAGGGCCATGAGTGATCAATGGACCAATGAGTGGTCTTGGGAGTGGATGTGCGACGGCTCTTAATTGGGATGCCAAGATACCGTCTCTCAGTGTTGAGGAATATGTCGGATAGCCCTTCTTTGAGGTATTTTTAAGTTGGTACGGTCCTTGTGCACAGATTGCATTGACTTGGTATGAACCAAATCGAACTCGGTCGAAAATTCCGTAAACAACTGTGTTATATGACAATTTTTGAAAAGCTGAATTTCATGCGTTGAGTAGTAACGGAAATTTTTTTAAAGTACAGTACTCCCAATAGCATATGAGGATAATACCCACACCATGTGACGAAATGTGGATGCAGGTTCACGCTCGTTATAATCAGTGTCCAACCATTCTCACAGGAAGATTAGGACAGCAAAGTACTTCGTGCTAAATCATGTCTGAAGCAGCATGAATCAAACATTATAACACGTTCCTCATCACCGAAACAGGGTACGATTTACGAATGAGCTGTTTTTGATGATGGTTCTAGGATACCACACATATTTTGATCATAGCCGACATTCCTTACGATCCGGAGTCACAAATTTCTGCCTGGTGTTGTTTCTGATAGTTTCAACTAGCATACACTGGTGATTTCCTTTTGTTCAACTGTTGGAATGTGTGACTGTTGAAATCGTCTGATCCTTTTCTATTGGCCTTGTCCATTGGAATCGTTTAGATGTCTATACTGTCATACGCAGCAGAACAGCTATCCACCACAAACCATATCAACATCAAAGTCAGCGCTAAATTTGGGGTTTTGCTTCTGTATCATCTTAGAAACCCGCTCTTTTTAGAGGATTATACTTGTGTTTAGCTCAGGCATTTGGAGGCTTCTATACTAACCAATTCTCAGTCATACAATCTGTTTAGTAAAGAAACACCGTCGATTTGGGGGATAGGATGAGCGACACGGATCAAAGTTTTTGGAGCGAATGATGCAGCACAATTTTTTGCATGTCTTAGATTATTTCTTTTCGGTTATCAGATTTAATTGTGAGGTAGCCCCACTCTAGAGCGGCAAGTGACTGGACCAAGCAAAACAGTCGTTATGGGGGCTGCTGTAAATCCCGCTTGCCCTGAATCAAAAGTGTATCTTAGCGTAACATTTACGTTAGTTTAATTTTTAAAGAAGTGGTCGCGTAGCCACCGGCGTGTGGACAATGACTCCTCGGTTGCCGTTACTAAAAACTGGCAGTATGAGGGCCGACCCAAAATGGTTACTCTGGCGTGTAAGATTTGCTTGTTTCAGAGGGAATCGCCGTATGAGGTTTTTTGCTGTTACATATTGGGAAACTAGGTCATCGTCGAATTCTTACTTTAGATGTCATTCTTTTAATACCTGACTGATGCCGACTACCCTCTTAGGCTGTTGAGAATGAATATCAAAACTTTAGCGCCCTGCCTAGTTTCATGTCACAGTTAGACGCCCCGGCTCTAGTTTCAGCTTGTTTATGCTGGACCAGTTAAGCGCTTTCGTTCACCGATACCAGTGCGAATAAGTGCAACGTCTTGAAAACTGACCTCACGGGCTGGTCTGCGTTAGAAGACTGTAATGCTATGAAATAATCATTTATTGCCTTGTTGTGCTTTCCAGTCTCGTCGCCTGCGCTCTGGTGCGTCCGTAAAGATGTAGCAAGACAACTTTGTGCAACGATACAAGCGTCTTGTAGAAACTAAGCATCGGACAGATGACAATGTCACACTATGAACGTGTGATATCGTCGAGTAGTCACACAGTCGCGACCACCTGTTTCACACATGCAATGCCAAAGGAAGGTGAAGCAACAGACTTGTCACGTGAACGCACGTGACCAAGTCACCGTCGGCCTGCAACACAGCAGTCTCCTTCCTCTATAAGTAATAGTGTTGTGTCGATCAGGCGTGGAACTAATTCGCCCGGAGTGTTTTCAGGGGTGGAATGAAGCATCGTTCTATAGTTTGCTAGGACAGAAATAATGCAGTCTTACTAAATTTCTCTCCTTGCATTGTTATGTTCATGCGCTCAACCATTTAGTTTGCTTCGTGGTTGTGAGGCATTACCCCAATGTGTCTTATAGCACTCTCTTTGAGGAAGTCAGCAACTTACTCAGTTTACTTTCTGACGACTCCCTCCTGAGACAGGATTGGTTGGTTGCGTTCATGGACCACATCTGCACGGGATATGGCAGTCCGAACCGAAACTAGAGTGGTTTGACACTCCTGTGAGTGTTGACGAGGCGTACATCCTTGGATCGTCACTTCGGTCAAAGGATTTAGTCACAGCAGCCAGTAAGACTTCCGAACACGGACTTTCTCGCATACATCCCCCTAGTTGTCTTCGTGGGAATATGCGATAACGAAGAAAAGCATATTCGTAAGAATCACATCCGTCTATGGAATGGTAATATATCCCATTCTTAAGCGATCAAGTAGTGTACAAGTATTCACGAACACTATTTCGACCTGTATCTTTCTGCATTCTGAACCGTGCGATTGCTGATGGATAGTGTTGATATTCGCTATTATTTTGATTTTATCCGAGTCTTCGTTTTCCCTGCAGCTGTCCAACGGTAGTCGAGAGAGCCCATCATCTAACTGAGTATGGGGTTTGATGGTGAGACCTGTCCCATAAGGCTACAACTACTCCAGTAGTCGTACTCCGATGACCGCTGCCTTTGGGACTAGACATTTGAGTGCTAGGCGTCGTGACAGTATCCGAGACTTTATAGGCCCGGGTCACGTCAATGAAAGTACCTCACGCTATGCCGGTTGCCGCTCTGATTGCGCCAACCCCAGCGCTCTGTTTTCTGTGCACAGTGGGACAGATAAATAAAAATCGGCCACTATTGCTGCCTTAACTCCTTCTTTGACAGCTCCTCTCGCACAATGCCTGATGATTTCGCTTTTGTACAACAGCTAAGCAAAAATAGCACTGTCCATGATTATGACCGGAATGGTTGATGCACCAACGTACCTTATGATTCAAGGGACATAGTACTCGCCTCCCTTTTTTCGAGGGATTTAAGGGATTCTCTTAGCTTATCACATCTTCCAAACTTTTGAATCATCAATCTTACCGGAAATTTTTCAGTATCCGTTCAACATTTACGCCGTATCTGTTACTTTAACCTGTCTTGGCGTTGTATAATAGGTATCTCGTTCTTATCATTTAAGTCAAGAAAAGGTTCTAGAACTATCCGCTCCTTTGAATCACGTCAAAAGTGAATGTTTCCATTGTAAATGACATTGGCTTACAACACAGTTACGGTGGGCGTCTATTCTTCGGACAACCAGCTAAGTCTCGCTTGCATTACAGATTCTTATCTGTATGGAATTCCTGAACTATGCGACTTCCTTCCAAATCTTGGTTACCGACTCAGGCCAATGGTGCTTGTATTGATATGAGCATAGAAGGGAATTCTTCGTCAAGGGACGACCTTACTCATTTTTGGCTTGCCCTCCTCCGGCGTTCAAGCAGTATAAATTAATTCTGCATCACTCTTCGGTATAAATGATTTAGAATGGAACGAAACTGGCGGAACGCTTCGCGAATCCCAGGATGGGTACCATTGTCTTATACAAGCGGTTTATATTAAGCGACATCTCACTGGACTAAATCAACCGATTCCAGAGCTGAGACAGTTGCGACAGCTCTTCGGAATAATGCCATCCTTGAAGGTCCTGTGTTTGTCACGCACGGTGATATTACTTTTTAAGAGTGCAGTGAATGCTTATGCAATCAGTTTTATCTCAGTGCTGCTGGAACACTTCCAATGTCTATCTGCGGCGCAGGAACTACGACCTGTTCCACGTCACATTTTTTGTAAAAGCTAAAGTCACTTGGTTAATACAATGGTAGGTATTGACTTTGGGTGTGCGTCGGGTTCTCCAAGGTCCACTCCTCGAAATCTGATCTAAAGTGTCAGTATTCTTGTTTAACGTTCTTTTGGCGTTCAATTTTCCTAAGATACGTTTGGTGCTTTTTAAATTTCAGGATGTCATCGTTGAAACTCCACAAGGTGTCCCATACCATGGTCGTCAGTTAGTTACCGGTACCCAGGTTTGTGGTGTCTCAATACTACGTGCCGGCGAGGCCCTGGAACCTGCTTTGTGTGCTGTCTGTAAAGATGTACGTTTGGGCAAAATCCTCATTCAGACCAATCCCGACACTTTTGAGCCGGAACTGCATTACCTTCGTCTGCCAAATGATATCAAGGTTAGTCAGCATGACTGTTTGTTTTTACCGTGACCGTTTTCTGTGACTGAAGCTAAGTGGTTAGGGTGCCAATTTACTGACCGGAAGGTCCATGGTTCGGACCCAACACTGACATCTCGACTTCGCCTGTCCGGACTTGGGCAATCTGGTATAAGTATGACAACTAGGCAGTGGAAGTGTTACAGCCGAACGTCGATTTCAGCTTGAATACGTATCTTTGTTTACTTGTCTTGAAACACTGCATCGGTGAACTTTGTGTGGCATCTAATACCATGCATTTTCTGCTTACCATCACGGCGCCATCCGAGAAAACGGTATTGTAATCGTACTGTAATCACACCATGTATGCTGCGCCGTACTGCGTTCCCGGACAGTTCGGCCGATTGCTTCCTTGCTGTTTCACCTACAAGACATTTTACTTACGCATTCCCGTAGACAGTCAGAATGAACGACATAGCAGTTATGTAAAGAGCATAACCCATTCTGGTTGACAACAGAGTCGATGAGACCCGTTGCAGTTGCAGTGGTCGTCCACTTGGTTGATGAATTCATATAAGTAGTTGACGCTATTCTCGGAATATTCTACCAAACGCCTCCTCATCCGCTCAGTATCACAGTCTTTTCACGGCTGAGACAATTACAATGTGCCCACGCACCCTCATCCTGTGCACTTAGAAAGCGTTCACACGCTCGTCAAATATTTTGTTTTCTGATCACTTCCGGAATGGGCTGGTAGATTCTGATGTAAGAACCGGTTTGTTTCTATCCACGGAATTCGCTTTATCTCGGTTGTGACTGCTTTTACCATCCGGATTTGGTTTTATAAGCTGTGAATTCGCATTCATAGGAAGACGAGATCGGTAGAACATTAGTGCTCGTCAAATTTTGTTCTGAACTTGAAAATGGACTGTGTTACGCTTTGTAGGATTCGAACAATCTAGCACAAAAATCTGCCACGCTGGGTGTGACCGTAGCAGGATGCATTTCCGGCCATCGTCTCGTGCAGTCTTTAGTTGCGTTCCAGTTTTTCTCACCGTGATCACTATGTTGACATCGCATAGCATAGCGCAGATGCTATGAACAATGATATTTCAACCAAATGGCAATGTGAGCATCAACATGAACTGCGATATCAGATAAATAATGCGTTGGATTCATTCGTTGAGGGGATTTTTTTGGCACAAGTGGAAATCACGGAAGATGACACAGTCGTACTGATTAATGTTGCGTCCTTTGCTGCTTATTCCAGCAATGCGTAAAGGTAAGTACTAATACGAGACCAAGACACTGCCCTTACAACATCGAAAATTCAAGGTCACGCACTATCACTGCGCATGACTTTTCGGGTCGCTGATTGGTTACGCGTTTGGTATTCGTTCATTCATACCAACGCTTTTAAACATTGCTGTATATTGCTAGGAAGGAATTTTTCTACACAGTGTTTCTCCCCATGCGTCCCTGTTCGTTCGAACAGTCTCCCTAGACCCATACCAAAGACATCCTGTTCCAAATGGCTTATTTACCCCCAATAGAAAATATCTCAATACTTTTGTCTCCGGATTTGCCAATGAATTATCAGGTTGTCAGGCAACAGCCAGTGCAAGTTCCTTACAAGAATTTCCTTGTACAGCGAACACGTACAGAACTCAAAGGTGACTGCCCTACGGAGTAGTTTCACGAAAGCGTGTCACTCACTATTTGGGGGATAGCAGAGTGGTTTCATCGCACTACGGAGATGCCAGATCGCACACATTGATGCCATGTAAATTTAGTGAAGTACGGGAGCCGAGCTACTACCAAGTTACCTAAGCCTGTACCGGAACAGTTAGCATGTACATGTTGGACTTTGGTGTACTTGTGGTGTGACATTTCGGGTCCCCTGAATCAAACTCAAAACAGGAGTCAAAACAGCCAGCGCCTTGTGACACCAAGTGTATAGGATGTTGCTCCGTACCTCATGAATATGAACTTTAGGTTATCACTCCTCCTTTTGTATACGAGCGATATTGTTCGGTGCGAGTGTGCGAATGTTTTTTTCCTGATAGAATGGCCCAACGAACGAGTGATAAAAATCGTCAGTAATGTTAGTGTCACGATGATTCTTGCTCTCAGTCCAATCTTTCGTGCGGTCTACAAGTTATTCGGTCTATTTCGGTTGCCTTTTTCGCATTCCTTCGTGCTCCATAAGACGTTTTATTTCCAGCACATGCTACTTTAACACCCCGGAAACAGTGCGCAAAGGTTGTCGGTTTTCTCACATGCCCTGTCTGGTTCATATTTAACGAGTTCCGCACATCACTATAACGAGCGCTTGTTCCAGGCGGTTTCTCTCCCATGTGTTTTGCCGCTGTCTATCACTAGGACTGTTTTGTCATCCTCATGGATTCAACAGTCTCTACTGGAGCGGCTGCCATTATGGCCATGCGCGTGTTGGTGGAACATGATGTCCCCGAAGAGAAAATCATTTTCATTTCTCTCATCATGGCCTTACAAGGAGTGCGTAACATCGCCTATACTTACCCAAAGGTAATTTCCGTATTTTTGTCTTTTCTGATTGTCATTCCCGAGTGATTGCTCAGTGTTGAAATGTGGAATCTCAGGAGCCAGAAAACGTATAGGCTGTCTGGGGGTGTATGTGGGAAGGTATTGGTCTATAGTTTTAGCTTATCGTGTCCAACTGGATTGGGGTAGCCTACTAGATATCCTGCGCGGGTATTCACGGCACATCCTCTTGTGTTTGGGAACCGAGCAAACAGACAGATTGTAGTTGATTTTGATTGATAGTCTAGAGCATTCAGCCATCCGTGGTTCGGTGGGGGGGGAGATTTATCCCATCTTAATAAAGAAACCCACTACCGCATCCTTTCAAGACCGGTCTAATGTTGATTCTTGAATGCAAGTACCGTTTATGGTTGCTGTTTCATATTACAAAACTTATCAAGTATGGCACATCAATGTCAACATTCACTAAACAGGTGGCATACATTATGCAGACTGGACACACGCGATGGGCTTGTGTTGGTTGACTGGAAGTCAGTTAGCATTTGGCATTTAAACGTTTGCCATCGGTGGTAAGCCAGGGAATACGAGCGAACTTATCTAGTCTCTAAAGTTTACTTATACACCAGCTAATTAGTTTAAGCTCTGTGCCTCGCTATTTGGTGCACTTTCCCTAAAAGCACAGACTGTTTTTTAGAAAACTTGAGGAAACTACAGCACGCCTCCAGAGACGGACGGGCAAATCGTTTGATATTTTTGGCCTTGTGAGATCCAACTTGATGGAGTCCATGAGGACATACAAGCAGTTTTGAGAAAGGGCTTCGCGGGACTTCAATTTTTTTTAATCCCATCTGGCTCACTTCAGAAGCGACAAGTTTTCCAATAACGCTATGGATATCACAACTTCTTGCACCATATAAGGATCATTCTCAACAAAAGTAGGATGTTTTAAGGGTTGTGTTGTTTATTGATAATAATGGCATTAGTAGGCTCGCGTACCTTCCGTCCTGAACTCCCTAGTTCCGGCCCGGAATGTCAAAATGTTCCTGTTCGCATAAACGAACCATGATGGCACCGCAAATCCTATGGACTCTATGTGCCGGGTGCCTATTCAAACAAACGCTATCACAAAATGTTTAGGTGACTCGGGGAACATCTGCTGTGGTGCATATTAAAAAAAGATGAATTCGGCCCTGTTGTTTTCGGAAAAAATATTCATAATTTCCGCTCCCACGTGATTTTGGTGTCGCTTCAGTAAGTTCATATGGAGCTGGAGCCTTTCTGACGCAGTGATCCTATTGTGCTGACAGTTTTTGTGGATGAAAAGATAGTTCCCACATGGATAGGGGATCTTGCAAAGGAGAGTTACTAACCCCGGTGTTCCACAACGTTATTATCAGAAGTTGCCTTGTACATTCGAGTATTTACTCTTCTGGTTGACCCAAGAATTTGTGCATATGAGCTACGCCATGGTTAAACCAGCCAGGCTGTTCCTGAGGATCGGTATTTGTTTGGGAGTACTGGCCTCTGAGGAAGGACATGACACGTGTACCCGTGTGGGACCCAATCATCCGTATCCATTGATAAGCAAGTAAAAGATCCGCTGAGGACGAGAGTCGACTTACTGGTTTACGGGCAGCAATAAAGTTGGCGTGAGTTTTGGTTAGGTTCAGATGCTTTCCGGTAATACCATAGCGGGTTCCGAGCTGCTTGTGGGTTAATTGTCCCGTTGGTTCACACTTAAACCAAAATTTCAATTTTCAGTGAATTTGTAATCCGTGCCTAGGACACTGAAGCAATCCAAGCGGTTGGCGTCTGTTGAGGACGCTATAACTTACATTCTTAACACTGGAAATCATTCCGCATCATGCCAGCTGGGAGGAGCTTAAACCATCATGATTCGTAGTTCGAGATAGCTCGGTGGTTAAGGCGCAATATTAAGGACCGGAAGTTCCGCTGTTCGAACCCAACCTCAGCATCTTAGGCTTTAGAAGCCTGGCAGTATCGCTGCCCTCGTGCACTCTTCCGTTAGTATGACAGCAAGGCACTGAAAGGATGCTACAGCTGAACAATGTTTGGGGGCAAGGAAAGCTCAGAAGAGGAGGTTGAGCGGAGCCTACTCAGTGAAAGCCAACGCGATAATTCACAAGGCCTGACAGAAGGCGCCATCAGTGTGTTAGGACTGTTGCTATACCACCTGATTATTTTGCGTTTGTGGACACGGTTTTGCACCTCAGTAAGGTCGAAGGAATTTTGAGGAGCACCATAATGAGGCAATCTAGGTTTGATTGTCCAAGTCCGGACACTGACACGCACGGCAGCTCTTGATTCCGGTTCTTAAATGCTGGCCAGGGAGGTTGCTTTTAGATGATAGACTCATTCTTACAGAGGGGATTGTCACTAGTTTGAAAGGTATTGATAAGCATGTACGTTCTTTATATATCTCTGTCACTTGTGTTTCACCTTTTTATACGTCCACGTGACAAGCGCTTTCGCTTTGATACTCACAGGCCCACATTGTCACAACGGCCGTGGATAGCGGCCTGAATGACCAGTACCACATTCTGCCAGGCGTCGGGAACTTTGGTGACCGATACTTTGGTACTTCGGACGACTACAAAAAGTGCAACGTCAGCCCGTAGTAATGCTATGTTATTTTCAGTCTGATCTACTTTATTTGTTCAAATATATACCCCTCCGGTGCTTTTGAGTTAGAGATCCTGTCCTGGACAACCACACTTCACTTACTGACCGTCATTTCACCACACACTACTGTCCAGATAGAGTCAACATTGCAATTCTTGTTATTGAACCCTCCGACATCCCGATTAACCTTAACTCAAGAAAGCATGCTCTGTTTTCCCGAATAACATTTTGGAGTCATTTTTATCTTCAGCTATCTTTTGAAACATTTTCTCCTGGATGAAGTCTTTACGATTAGCCAATCAGCATCCTTCGAGTATACTCGTTCGTCGTCGATCTTTTCTCTCTTCAACTGGGGCCACAGATATACTTGATGGCTGGGTGCGGGAATTCTGCCGAAAGTGGTTTTCTAAACTGTCGTCCATGTACACCATGCTGACCTGCTTCATTTTAGCTAGTAGCCTCTTTGTTCGATTCCTTCTTAGTTTTTTCGAGCTCCCAATCGTCAAGTGGAAGTCAAACTGGAGCATTTTCATTAACTTCACTCTGGTCCCATGGTTAGTCACCAAACGTCTTTTTATGTTGGAACGCCCTTTAAAGTCGCCGCTATCGCCCTGTTTCGTATTGTGCAGAAAGTGTATACGGATGAGTAATACATCAAGCCACGCCAGGACTGCTGTCAGGTATTCCGGCCCCTGAAGCCAAAACTCTATCAGTTATTCGGCTAATGTAGCAAGTCCGGGCTGGCAGAGGCAATATAAAGAAAACATATCTAAAGCGGAATTCGTTTCACTTGAAAGCGATGCCTGGGGTAGCTTCAGCGGATTACGGGGTATTATCAACAGTCCTTAGCGTAACTTACAGAATTGGTACAAGTAGATAAAGCTGAATTGGTTATGGATTATTGATCGTTCATGTTAGAAACTTGTCACTTACCTTTGGATTTTGGTGACTACGTGATCAGGTGAACTATAAGGTCGTTATCGCTCATCACACTGGTCATGTTTGGAGAATCCCGGTGACGAAAATAATCTGCCTCCTCAGTGAATTACACAACTTGACTATTGGTCGACTGTTTTTTCGTGTGCGATGTTCTATAAAAAGAATTAGGTGGTGGAAAATCGGAACCATGTAACGTCGCTCATTTCCACCGAACTCGTCATACTTATATAGTCATAAGCTAAACTGTTAAGACAACTGAAATAAGTCACGTCAGCACGCGCCCAGACATAGAAAAAGTACATGTCCAGAGAGTGACGAATCCCCAAGGTCACCATCGGTTCGACACGTACGGAAAGCAAGTGCGCTGGTGAAGCCCACCAAACAAGGCTTAGCAACATACGACCAGCGGAGTGGGCCTGAAAGTGTTCACGACCGGAACATCGCCATTTGCTGTACGGAGCGAACGGTCATGTTTGGCCATTTAGTCATCCTATATATTACGCAGACGCTCTGTGTGTTTTGTCCTGGCAATACGACCGTGTCCCCAGTTCTCTGTCTTCTTCCTATCGCGTAGTCTGGCAGGCTCAGTGCAAGCGTAACCACAGACGGCCACCGCAAGATACAACATCACCTGGATATTATCATCTTTATTTTTTGACTATAACGATAAGGTAGCACCAGATACAGAGTCCTTGAGTCGCTTCACTCTAGTGCTACTTGGGAAGTGAACCCATCCGCGTAGGATTCCGAAACGCCCCACCACACAGGAATTATCATGCGAGCGTTAGTGAGATCAGTTGTCTTGCTCATTGATCAAGATTTTTAACTCAGACCTACAGGTCTCTTGACCCTTTCTCTGTGGTTGATCGGCTGTCTTAGGCGGGATTCTTGTCACAGTCAGTGTTGATCTGGTCAGGCAGTCTATTTACTCGTAAGTGATTATGGAATCCAAAGACTTTTTATCCAGACCACGCGTTTGCCCAACTACACACCAATTAAGATAAGCATTCAACTCGTTTTTGCTCTGGTTGGAACTCATTAGCAGCGTCTCTTTGAGGGTTGTCGGGATCGTAACCGCGGTCGCATGACACTCGAGGCGATCATACCCTCGATTTTCTACCCGTCCGTGACAATCGCATCTAAAATAACAATGGTGGCCACGTGTAAGTCTTTCTGTATTTAATTCTCTTGCAGGTGGGATACTGGCCTACTTACAACTTTCCCCGTGTTGACCTTCGTTTATCAAAGTTCATCTATTGCAGCCAGTCATCTGTTGCTATAGCGTCATCAGATCTATTTGTACCACTTCGTGCTTCATGCAATTTTATATTAATTCCTTGGGAAAGAAAGTGCAGTAACAACACCAGAGGTTTCAAACTCGCCAGCTTTTTGTGCTACTCGTTGGAGTAGTTCCGTTCAAACCCGATTTGGTTTCTTACCTTGGCCGTAGCTAGATTGTCATGGGTACTTTGAGAGTCCGGAATTTTTCAGCTGCGTCCGGCTTACGCAGAGTAATTGTTTGAGGAGAATGCTCTGCTAAAAATGGTAGTAAGCGGAGCGAGTGGGTCTTGTGGGCCTTGAATGTCCGCACTCTGCAGCCGCCGATTCTGAGTCGCAACATGGAGAAGTTTGGTGCGGCCCCAGCAGAATATCACTGATGAATCCGCTGCGCACTCCGTGTTCTGTGTATTGTAGTAGCATAATGGAATGCTCCATAACCATATTACTTAACAATTAACAGTTCTGTAGCATGTCGGATTTTTTTGGGAAAAGGTCGTTCTGAAGGAGTTTTTGGGGTTATAGATACATCTGCCTCGACCAGGAATAACGAATATGGTTATAGTGACATCATCTAATATACAGCAGTGTGGCGCCAAGTCATCTGTCAAGGTGACTGTTCTTTGACAGTAGATGATGACTGATGTCGGTGAAATCACAATGTCGACTGATATCCCTACTTTGATTAAATAAATCAAGAAAGAAAATCAAGTTCTATATAGCTGCCTTCACTAAAACAGAGTGCCTGTATTATGTCACATCGCTTCACTTGAACAGTGGCAGTGAGGGATTCGAGCTCGAACGAAGACTAGCACTATTAAATGGTTTTTGTTAGTGGAGAGTTTTGTGTGCTTCAGGCACATTTGCTTGCAGTACAAAGATTCACTGTGAGTTCACATACGGTTACATTGAAGGGTTGGAGTAATCTTTTTTTCACTCAGGTGACGTAGTCGAAATATCACGCCTGTTTTTTGGCTAATTACCCCCAGAATATGCTACCACTTCCTACCGTTTTTCAAGCCCGATGAACAGACCTCGAGTTGATTGTTTGAATGAAGATATTTGTTGAAAAATTCCAGAGTAAACTGGAAAATTTGGTTTCTACTTTCTGGTATGCTGGGACGGGCCCAGTTTCCTCCTGGCTAGTGACAATTAACACCTAGGCAGAAAAATTCCAGAGTATACTGGAAAATTTGGTTTCTACTTTCTGGTATGCTGGGACGGGCCCAGTTTCCTCCTGGCTAGTGACAATTAACACCTAGGCATCATGCCCTTTCATATTTAGTCTGTCCTATTGATCCGTTATTCCGAGTTTAGAAAACATTAGCCTTGCGTATGGGGCGGTTTATGTGTGATCGAAACAAACCCTAACAGTCAATTTTATCCAAGTGTTTCATGTTCTGTTGATGATCTGCACCTCAGGTATCTGGGACACCGTGTTTTCATTCGATTCAGCAATCGTTCAATTTATAAAAAAGGCCCGTGTTCTAATCAGTCATTCATTCTCAGCCTGCATGGTATGGAGCGAAGAGGTACCTCAGTTTCAGCGAACAACTATGACAGAACATGGGCGCACGTCAATGCGAAAAGCAAGCAACCTCTCATTCTTGGCTACAAAATGCATTTCTGCGAAGGAACATCAGCGTCAAATTCTCACGTGGACCGCAATTTGTCCGTTTATTGCTTTGATAATCACCCTATGTAGCCAAATGAACAAATATATTAGCGCATTCAAATAACTGAATATTGCTATGAAATTATTTGAAAATCAGCGAGCAATGCAACATTAATCAATCATTCTGTTGATTGGTGGCTGACTTACACGGGTTGTTACGCAACGGCTTATATTAGCTGAGTTTCCAGAGAGCAAGTGTTATTGAACACATTCGACAAAAGTGAGTGGAAACTAATAGACATGTAGTTAATCTACCATCACATTCTATCACTTTATTTCTAAGACCGTCATGAGATCTGTCTCCTCTTAAAGAGTCGCTTGTTAGTAACATCGATGGCACCCCGTTTTATCGTCGCTGATCAGCTGACGGAACTGCAATTCATCTCTGCTGAAATGTAGGCTTTACCAAAAACTGGTTATGCATTAGTGCAAATCGTCCAGAACATGAAAGGAAGAACTAACAGAGTACTAAGCAGATTTGAAAATGCAAACGGTCACATAAAGTTATGTTTGTGCTGGATGACTTCTGTTCTGTTGCACTGAGACAATAAACTTCTTACCATTACACTCGATGATGGAGCGGTTGAAGAAGCACTGTCATCGATGTAAGTATCGGTACACTCATCTACCCAAATTAAGCATCCGGAATGCTGTGGAATCTCTACTATATGGATGGAGCGAATGCTTGTAAATGTATCGAGCTTGTGGCTTTACAAACACCACCTTCATTAATTGGATGACAGAGGTTCAGCCCTCATGATAGAAATTGCGGACATTCTTTTAGTTGTTTGAACCCTCCCAGGATATATATGAAGGAAAGGTAGGTTCCGTACATTTGAACTACTGGGCTCCTGGCCAAGTGTTCTATATGATTTTCACACCGCGACGCTTGAACGATTCTTATAAAAAAGTCCTGACAGGCTTCTAATTGTTACGGAAATGCTGTGATATCCTGGTGGACTGCGCTCTGGGATTTTTGCACGAGGTTAGATTCCACATGCGACAGCTTAACTTCACATTTAATCATTTCTGGACTTCTCATTCTGTCATTCTATATATTAATTAACAGATGTAGCTGTTCAAATAGATAAATTAGGAAATCCAGGGGGTTTTGATTTCGCTTTCTGTCACTTTTAGCCAGGTTGATGAGTAGACTTGTGGGTTTAAACCTGGAGGGGACAGTTGTTTCCAGAAGGATTGTGTCAGGATTCTGCGTTGGCCATTACAAGTCCATTTTAGCGCGCATTAGGAGCATATGACTTTCATTTTACTCATCTCGAAGCAGAATCGTTCAGGAAGGTTTACTTAGTTTTTGTTGTGAGGAAGACCTTTCAAGCAGTTCAACGAGCCGACCGTCCTCATCTGACAAGATATACTCGTTGATCTCCGGATCCCCTTATGGTGCCAGTTTTTGACTTACGAAAAAGTGCGCTGACG